TAGCTGGAAGCCACGTTGGGGCTTACTGAGTTTACTACTTCGGGCTTCGGTTTAGACTGCAGGGTATTTAGGCAAAACGAGCCGAAACCGGAGCCAGCCCAAGTCACATATAAGGTTCCTGAGGATTTTTGTTGGGTTTAAGGCTTAGGAAGAACACACACGCACGCGCACGCACACGCGCACACGCACACGCAGCAACGAAGCGATTTCTCCGACGATCAAAGAAGGTTCGATGCTTCATCCAAATGTGTAGGTTCGGATTCGGATTCGGGCAGGGCTCGCATTGGGATTACGAGCTTTACTCAGTTGGATCCACCTCACCGAGTTCGATCAATCCTAAATCCCGACCTTCTGCACAGGCAGGCTCTGGAAATGTAAATTTCTCATCGTCTCCGCGAGCAACCTCGGCGGTTCTGGGGTTTAGGAGTCAGGGTCTAGCGTTTAGGGTTGAATGATTGAGGGTTTAGGCTTATGTTTGGAAGGGCCGAAAGAATTTAAGGATCACGAACGGGGAAAGTGATATTAAGCTTTCGTCGTGACCTCGGCATTGGGCTTCCTTTGCTGCTACATCGGCTTTCCTTTTTAGAGCTGTGTGATGCAAAAGCCCAAAACCAGGTAATCTACCGCCAGCCTCATACAGGGACTGAAACTAAGTAGGGATGAAAAGAAAGCTGTGACAATGTTGGCATTATCGAGGCTTTTGTAGATGTCTTTAAGTTGCACTTCTGTCCATAAAAACCTAAACAGCCCTAAACCTCCCTACACTCCAGGTCTTGTACCCCAGACCCTTACACCTAGCCACCGCCCAACCGAAAGCCTAAGCCCACAGCTTCTCCGCTTCTTCGAAGTCGATTGCCTTCGGGCGAAGGCAAACAATGGGAGGATCCATAGGGCCAGAAATAGCGAGGGGCGCAGGTGTAGAGCAGGGGACGTGAAGCTCTTGGGCAGCGCGCGTTTCTTTTCAATTCTTCGTGCGTTTCGGGTCTAGGCCTAGGCTTAGGATGCCACGGCTCCAACTGTAAGGCCGCTGCTTGAATTTAATGCATGATTTTTCGTCTGTCGACTCTGCTGTCCGTTGCAATGCAAAACAACACCAAGAGACACACAGACACACAAACGCACTCACTCACTCACTCACTCACTCACTTACTCACTCCTTCGCTCCCTCTCTCACTCTCACTCTAACTCTCGTTCTCACTCTTCCTCACACTCACACTCACCCACTCTAACTCTCGCTCTCGCTCTCACTCTCACTCTCACTCTCACGCTCACGCTCACTCTCACGCTCACCCTCACCCTCACGCTCACCCTCACCCTCACCCTCACCCTGACCCTGACCCTCACCCTCACCCTCACGCACACGCACACGCGCACGCGCACGCGCACGCGCACGCACACGCACACGCACACGCACTCGCACACGCGCACGCGCACGCGCAAGCGCACGCGCACGCACACGCAAAGGCACACGCACACGCACACGCACACGCACAAACACAAACCCACACGCACACACGCACACACGCACACACGCACACACGCACACACGCACACACGCACACACGCACACACGCACGACACGCACGACACGCACACGCGCACACACGCACACGCGCACACGCGCACACGCGCACACGCGCACACGCGCACACGCGCACACGCGCACACGCACACACGCGCACACGCGCCCACACACACACACCACACACACACACACACACACACACACTCACTCACTCACTCACTCACTCTCTCTCACTCTCACTCACACTCACACTCACACTCACAATCACACACACTCGCACTCGCACTCACACTCACACTCACACTCACACGCACACACTCACACTCTCTCTCACACTCTCTCTCGCACTCTCTCTCACTCTCACTCTGACTCATGTGTCCTCCGCCACCTTCCCCTCTAGCGGTGTCTCCAAGGCCTGACAACGGCATTCTACCACTCCGACTACGCAAATACCAGCCCGGACACCACCACTTGAAAGACAAAGCCTCGGCAAGCCGGAGACGAGCGAAGAGAGCCGCACAGAAGGGCGTTCCAAAAGCCTCAGGCACACGTCGAGGTAGTCGCTGATTCAGGATTCGAGTTTTGGCGAGCCCAAAAGTCCCACACCCCTCCCATGCGCACCCAGAAAAACAAACCTCTGAGCAAAAGAAATTGCACAAACGTAAGGTGCACAACCCTCGACCCTAAACCATTTAACCCTGCAAACCCCGAAAGATATGCCTGGTGTATCCCAAACCCAAAGCAAAATGTCATAAGCCTACGCCGCCTCCACCCCTGAGTCTGAGTCTAGGTCCCTTGGCCGGGGCCCGGGCCATTGCTGGCTCCTGGAACGCCCCTTCCGGCTCGTTCCACTCCACCTCCACCCTCGCGTGCACACGAGGCGAACCCCACCTCCCTCTTTTGCTTCTCTTATGGTATGCAGAACTCCGCAAAAACTTTGCTATCGCATAACCTCGCCCTGAAACCCGAAACCCCAAACCCAGTACGCCTGGAAACCCTCTGAGAGTGCCGCTTCGTGCTTCCCTTGCCATAAAGGTTCCCTAAAGCCGAAAGCCTAGACACGGCTCATGACTTGTTGCAACCAGGCGAATGGAACGACGCCGCTCCCAGGATGCCCTGCTGACGCTTCGTCCAGCACTTGTCCAGCCCAACGCAGCCCAACGCATCCCTAAACCCGATAAACCTCAGGCACTGCAACAAGTATATATACTGGTTTACGGCCCAGGACTTCCCACCTCTCGTTTAGGGTCTATAGCACGACAATAATTACATAGATTGCTTAAAGGAAAGCCACCATGTATAGGCTCGGGACCCGCAAGAAAACCATCATTGAAAGGCCATGTGTAAACCCTTAGCCGCTGAGCCACTTCGTCTATCCCCTGCGCTTCAACTTCCCAGCGGCCGAAAGGGAATTCGGGCGCAGCAATATGTAAGACCAAACTTGCGCCCAGCTGCTGGCTTGCGTCGATGCAGAGAAGGACTTCGTCTGCCATCTGCCTGGCGGGACATGCTCAAAGGTCGTCTGTAACGCATGCTACGCTTAGGACCTTGTGTCCTGCGTCGTGCATTGCCGCCTTCTAACTATGATGCTTCTGCTCATGGACCCTGGGCCCCCGACAACGTCGCTGTGGCCTTGTTGAGGGCCTGCAGGGTCGGAGCCACTGCTTCGAAACTTATAGTTAACCGATGAGGCGGAATTTTGCGCATCAGGGGGGGCACATAGAGCCGCAAGCCGTACGCACGCCAGAAACTGTATTGCATAGTGCGAGCTCCACTTCCCGTTTGCCGGAACTTCAACGTTGAACCTCCTATTATCCAGCTGTGAGCCGCACCATAAATGCAGACCCTCACCCGAAGCAAACACTCAACCCTATAAATAAGGAACCTACAGCCCAAACCCTCCTATAGCCGTGATCACGTCCTAAGCTCCAATCCCTGAGACCTTGTAACCCTAAACCCTAAACTTATAAACCCCTTAACCCCTAAACTTACAAGCCCTAACCTCTAAACTCCTAGCCACAAACACAAAAACCCCAATCCCGCAACCCAAGAACCATTCCAAGGGGGAAGAGGGATCCGAGACCATGGGGGAGGACGAGGGCGCATCGCCATCCATATATCCGTATATCCATGTATCCATATATACATATATATATATATATGTATATGTATATATATATATGGATATATGTGTTTCTGTACGTATGTATGTATGTATGTATAAACACACATATCAATCAAATACATATATGTATATATACACATAGATATTGTACCCCCGTCCCCTAAAGACCACACCCGAGCTGCTCACGAATTTCAACCATCTTAGTCTAGTCTTGTCGAGGTTTGCGGGATCAAGGAGTACCTGGCCAAGCCGGACATAATATAGGGGCCTTAACAAGTAGAATAGGGGTTCCCTTAAAAGGGCCTATAAGGGCTACCATAAGGAATCCATAATAGTAAAGGGGCCTTAACAATAAGTAGAATAAGGTGTTGGGGTAAACTATTATACATAGTTATAATAACAAGGAACCCACCAAATAGTGTTGGTAATTAAGGTCCAAATACTGATCCCCAAAAGCCCGAACAAGAAGTACCGGAACGCTCCACGTGGGCGTTTTTTGTTCTTCGTGTGTTGTTTTAGTTGTGTGTTGTGCTCTCCCGTGCTCATCGTTTTTCAGTTGTACTTGTTGCGGTGCTTGTTGTTGCCGCTTCTTTCTTGCTTACATGAAAGCCTTCAACTTACCTTTAGTAGGTGGAGGAACAGCTCGAGGCACAGCATTAGCATCCTCATTGGGCAATCTTAATCTGGGGTGCCAATTTATGGGGTGGGCCGCCCTATCCAACCCCCTGAATGACCCCCGCAGAACTACAAACACTCATGCAGAACCCGACGAGCCCTGCATAGCCACGCAGAACCTAGAGAGAAGACTACAATCGCCTTGTGGCAAAGTTCGCCGCTGCTTCGTAGAAGCGAGCCTGCCCCGCAGAGGATACTCAGAGGGCGAATGGACAGCCCACCCCATAAATTGGCACCCCATAATCAGGTCTGTTCATGGATTGCAAAGAGATCCTGCAATGAAGCGAATAAGATTCGTAGAGCAAGGAGGGGGTGAACATGCGCAACATTCCCCTCTTCTGCTGAGTTCGGCCGGTGTGTTTGCTTCATGGACAGCAGGACGCGGCAAGGACAGCGAGTTTTCCGCCGTGAGACGCAACTCTCCTTCGCCTTGTGCAGCTGGGCTAGGGTTTAGGGTTTGCAGATTGGGCTCCAGGGTTTTGGGCGATACTGGCATTGATCAACCTGCCTTTCCTTCTCATTCAGCCCTCTGCTCTCATGGCGGGCCTAGGGCTTGGATCCGGAGCGGAGCCATGCCCAGGTCAGTGCACTGCATCCTGCACCGGTCTATCACCGATCTAGGTGCCTTCAATTTGGTAGTTGAACACCATCTGAACCGGAACTTCTGACGGCTCATCTCTTCTGGGTTTAAGTATTTGAGCTGCATTCGGCAAACATCTAAGTGCTTCGCCAGGTCCCATCATCAACCCAACTCTGGGTGCATGCCAAGCAGCATCGCCAGGCCGCCAACCGCTTAGCAGGTCTCTCCGGCTAGCGGTCTTTCAGAGCCAAGGAAGATGGGCGACGTACAGTGCAGTGGCAGCTGGAGCGTAAGTAGTAGTAGTAGTAGTAGTAGTAGTAGTAGTAGTAGTAGTAGTAGTAGTAGTAGTAGTAGTAGTGGTAGTAGTAGTAGTAGTGGTAGTGGTAGTGGTAGTGGTAGTGGTAGTGGTAGTGGTAGTGGTAGTGGTAGTGGTAGTGGTAGTGGTAGTGGTAGTGGTAGTGGTAGTGTAGTAGTGTAGTGTAGTAGTAGTAGTAGTAGTAGTAGTAGTAGTAGTAGTAGTAGTAGTAGTAGTAGTAGTAGTAGTAGTAGTAGTATAGTAGTAGTAGTCGCCAACGTAGTCGTAGTCGTAGTCGTCGTCGTCACAGTAGTAGTAGTAGTAGTAGTAGCAGTAGTAGTAGTAGTAGCAGTAGTAGTAGCAGTAGTAGCAGTAGTAGTAGTAGTAGTAGTAGTAGTAGCAGTAGTAGTAGCAGTAGTAGTAGTAGTAGTAGCAGTAGGAGTAGTAGTAGTAGCAGTAGTAGTAGTAGTAGTACTAGTAGTCGTCGTCGTCACAGTAGTAGTACTAGCAGTAGCAGTAGTAGTAGTAGTAGTAGCAGTAGTAGTAGTAGTAGCAGTAGTAGTAGCAGTAGTAGTAGTAGTAGTAGTAGTAGTAGTAGTAGTAGTAGTGGTTCGAAACTTGAGAGCCCCAAATTTTTGCACCTGCCAGGGCCGAATCCTATTTAACGAAGGCTTGCCTGGTCCGGGCCGACCGAAAAGAAGCTGGCCAGAGAATCGACTGCATCTGCCAAGGGAATATTAACACGACATCCCCAGCATCAGTCTCTGTCTTCTGACTTTTACATTGTACTGTAGCTTACACCACAAACTCGCAAAGACCTAATCTCGTCCATGAAGCATGCACGCACGACGAGAAGCTTCATGGTATTCCAAGTCTATGTCTATGTGGCCCTGTAGGCGATTCCCCGGAAGCAGCAGATTGGCAAACTCTCCCGGCCGAGATCGCTATCCATACATACATATACATATACATATACATATACATATATATATATACATACATATATGAATCATGCTCACAGAGAAGATTTTGACGGTATTTGCAATGGAAAGTCAGGGTGTGTGTGTGTGTGGCCACATAATATATATATATATATATATATATATATATATATGGGTACCCCCCTATATGGGGTCCCCTGGTTTTTGCACACCTAAACCATTAAACCATTAAACCATTAAACCAATCCTTTCCCCCAATGGACCCAAACCATTAAACCATTAAACCATTAAACCAATCCTTTCCCCCAATGGACCCAAACCATTAAACCATTAAACCATTAAACCAATCCTTTCCCCCAATGGACCCAAACCAATAAACCATTAAACCATTAAGCCAATCCTTTTGCCCCATACCACTAAACCATTAAACCATTAAACCAATCATTTGCCCCTATAGAGAGAGACACAACCCCGTATGGGCCGAAAGCATTGGTTTAATGGTTTAATGGTTTAGTGGTTTAGGTGCATTGGGGGAAAGGATTGGCTTAATGGTTTAATGGTTTAGTGGTTTAGTGGTATGTGGTAAGGGGATTGGTTTAATGGTTTAATGGTTTAGTGGTATGGGGCAAAAGGATTGGTTTAATGGTTTAATGGTTTATTGGTTTGGGTCCATTGGGGCAAAGGATTTGTTTAACGGTGTACTAATTTAACGGCTTGTTAATGGTTTTAATGGTTTAGTGATGGGTCTAGGGCTGCCTACTACGCAGGTGTCCTGGTTATAACCGGGGACAGAGGTTATAACCAGGCCTGTGCCACCGCTACAGTACTTCATCAACACCTAAATCCAAACGTTTCAGGGTGAATGTAACCGTAATGAAATTAAACAAGGACTAGAAGAATAGAGGGTCCGAGGTAATTGGCGTGCATTCGGTTGTTGAGGCATGATGCAGTGCTTTGTAACAAACATAATTCCGGGGACCATATGCGCATCCCCCAACTTTAGCGGAAAGGCTATATGGCGGACTTTACACAATGGTCTGTCCGTTCCAGTACATCGGGTTTATGAGATCTATGTACACATTGAGAGAATAGCCGCTAACATGTCACTCACGCAGGAATCAAAATGCGGAATATGAACGGGGCTCTAAAGGGACTACAGTAGGTCAGTAAGTGTTGTCAACATTGGAATATCACGGTACACAGAAAGTTGAGAGACGGCTGATACGACGTCATTGTAGGGAGAGAGAGTATTTCAATTTTTACAGCGTGGTCAGGTTTTCACTTCGTACATAGGCGAACTGGTTGCAACGTTATGTTCAAACATCGTTCCAAGGAAGCCGGATTTCGACGAGACAAAACTGACAAGAATATGTGTGGTGAGCGAAACAAGCTTTGCGACTTAAACTGTTAGGTTTCCTCGCTCGGTACGTAGAAAATTCCTCGCAATGCTATTTCCAACTACATGGATGAACCTCTTTCGAGGAGTGATTCGGTGTGTGTGTGTGTGTCACTTTTTCTAACACGAGGATCACGTTCTGGACTGGGAACAATGGCTTCTGTTCGACTTTCAGTAAATATTCACAAGAACACAAACAGAAATTCGGACAAGCTAGATGTAGCCTTATGGTTTTCAGTCGGCTTTACGTGATGGTTAAGGTATGCTGATACAAGAAGCACAGGCTTCATCACTCCGCATATAGAAACAGTGCCAAGCCTAAGAAGCGACGCTTCATGTCGTCCCCCAGGAAAAACACTATACAACGTTTGCTAAGCTTGTAGTATGCAAGTTTTCAATTTTGGCTTGGGGCAGCCGTCATACAGAATTAAGGAATGCACCACTCAAATACACCTACCGGATATACCAGTGTTTAAAAGCAATCACATAGGGGCACAGGGATATGTCATTGAAAGCTATCAGTTTGCCAAAACGTCATAGCAATGCGTCCAACAACAGAGACTTTGGTGGGATTGCGGCATTACAGTACAAAGATGGAGAACTTTTCGTTCCAAAATCTAGTTCGCGATAAGGAATGACTGAAGCAGACTCATGACTACAGCGCGCTTGTTGGAAAAAACTGAAATACAGCGGTTTAGATACAGTCACACAAAGATGAACTACGAAGATATATCGACGGCTTCAAGGCAAGGATTTTAGCACATTGTAACAGGGTTCCGACGAGGGTGTCATAGAATTCTTAGCGTTGTGCGGGTTTCAGCATTCTGAAAGCATGGGTTGTTGCAACTTCCCGGGTTAGTTTTCAAACCGGATATAATGCTGTAGTCGATGACGTACACCTGATTATAACCTATTCGGCTGGTTATAACCTAGTCTGGTGGTTATAACCGAGTCAGTTGGTATAGCGAAAAACGTAGGGGACCCCAAATAGGGGTGCGCCCATATATATATATATATATATATATATATATATATATATATATATATATATATATATATATATGTATGTATGTATGTATATATATATATACACACATATATATATATATATATATATATGCGTAGGTCCGAGGCAAAGACTTGGCCGCTCTGCTTGCATCCCATGCTTTGACTTAACTTCTGCGTTCACCCAAGCAGTACAACTTTGCCCGGCTCAAGTACTTGAAGGACGGTTGCCGATCAGCAGGGGCCACGTGCGTCAACTTCGACTACACTTATATATGACCCTAAGCAAAAAACTGGTAACTGGAATTCGTCATCCCTCCTTGAAGCCCGTAGGGTGTTGTAACACCCTACAACTGGCGGAACTATAGAACCCTGCCCTGCCTAACACATGCCACAAACTTGGACCACTCCGTAAGCAAGAAAAACAACATAATAATTGAAGCCCTTGTGTCATCCACCCAAGACTGAAAACCCCACATTGTGCAACGCACAGGAGACAACCCATCAAAGCCTTAAACACTCGAAAACAACATAAATTCTCACGAGCACGAAAGCACTTCGGTGTGGCCCAGCGTCTGTCCTGGCCCCGGCCCGGTACAGCGATATCCGGCACAGTCTCCTCTTTTGAGCCCATTGGTCTGAGGCGCCTGTCGAAAAGGCGAAGACCCACAAATCCTCAACGGCCCCAAGTGTGGTAGTCTGGGATACAAGCATTACTTGCGAGCACTGCGGCTCCTCTTGCTATGATTTACAAGCTTTACGAAGCTATGCCAGCGCCTTCTGAGCAAATCGTAGCATATCTTATATACTCTGAACTCCTTAGCGAACTGCGGAGCGGTGACCAGAACCGAAGTGTTCCTCGGAGCGTTTTTGTGGATGAAGGAATCCTAACAATCAGCCATTCGCTAGCTCGAGCTGCAAGAGGCTTGTCGAAATAAGTGTGCCGAGAATGCCTTTTGGTCTGTTGCGCTTCCATCCGGAGTACGATGTTGGGAAAACAATGGATGTGAAACGTTGGCGCCCGTCATCTTTGGGGCTGTTTAAAGATCATTTCTTTGACAGACAACTTGGTGAAGCCGTCTTAGCAAACTGTTTACAGATCACTGAGGCCTCACACGATTGTAGCAGTGCGACAAGGGTTCTTGCACAACACTGCATCGAAAGTCACGGAGTAGCTGCTATGGGCATAGGCGGATCACCGGCGCGCCCTCAAAAAGGTCCACCACAGGGAAAATGGGTGTCCTCAGCGAGCTAAATCGAAGTCTGGAAAGACTGTAGGGATCATGGCCCTGGGACTACACGATGTCGAGAGCCAAACGTACAAGTCTAGTCCAGAGCCTGCACATGCGAGCCCGAAGTCAAAGGTCACGGCAAGCCCTAACTGCCGGATTTGAAAGAAACAGCAGCGCACAGCACTCCGTCCTTTCCGTCTTATGTCTGCAGCTGTGTCGCTCCGTGGGAATCTGCGCCCGCCACTGGGCACGTGGGTTCCCGTTCCTGACAGCACTGTGGGTCCGACCCGTTGCCCGAACACCTTCCGTCCAAACGAAGCGCGAAGGATCCAGAGTGCTCGATGGTCAGGTACTTGGGTCCAGAATTATTTTCGGGTTGGTATTTGTCTTATTTGGGGGAGTAGGGGAGGAGGCATGTAAAACCTGACAAAAGAGGCAAGATCCCTCTGAAGTCTCGCAGCCCGCAAGACTTTCGCACACTAGCTGATAGGCGAGACTCACATCGAGCACAATCTCACCAGCTCCGGTGACCGTCAGCCTGCGGCTGCAGCTTCCACAGGCTTCGGCTTCAGGCTTCAGGGTACTGTGCGCTTCCAGCCACGTCTTCGCATGACTCCTTTCTGTTCTCAAGGGCGTCCGGGTTCTAGGAATGGAAGAGACCCAAAGGAGTCAGAGCGAACTCTTTGACCCTAAGAGACCACGCCCGGCCTCAAGAGGTCACCTGCCAGGAGGGACCTCGCGTTCCATCGCTCGTCTCGGATGCGCAGTCCTCCGCCGCAGAAGGGTCAAGGGCCCGCGTTCTTTTCAGGGTCCGAATTCCTCCAAGGGTTCTGCAGGTATCGGTTCCATATAGTGTAAGGGTCCTGTAGATAGTATACAAAGGGTTCTATACGAGCTTCGGGGCTTTTCGTTCGAGCTCGTCGTCAGGCCTCAGCCTCTTTCGAGATGGCATTCTTCATCTTGCAGCATGTGTGTGGAAATTACTCGAGTCAAACTCGGAAATCCAATGCAGACTTAGGACCTGAATCCTTGAAAGAAGCACTACCGCCCAGCAGGCACCGGCTATGATGCGGTTCGGAAGTAATATGTCTCACGTCTTGTCGACATTACAACCAGAATTATCATCATCATCGTCATCATCATCAACGTCATCATCACTAGCAGCAATGCCATCATCGTCAGGATAGTGACGATCGTTACATCATCATCATCATCACCATCATCATCATCATCATCGTCATCGTCATCATCATTGAATTGTACATATTCTTCCTGTGTTCGTGGAAGCAAGCGCAAAGATGACCACTAATGGTATTGGTACTCTGAACCACTGCCACATGCGTCCTGCATGGCTGCCGACAAGCAAGCCAGAAGACTCTACGATCCAGCTGCTCAGCAAGTCCTGCGACATTTGCTTTGTGAAAGCTCTCTGAGGCAATTTTCCCAGAGCAACTTGACTTTTTTCAGAGTGAGCAGGAAGGCCTTGGAAGGGCCTTTAAATACCAGGCCTTGGGATTGAGAAGGTTCGAGCTGATTCAGGTTAGCTTCTAGATTCTAGGTTGTATCGCGTATCGAGAAGATGGAGGGGCAGGGGAGCAAGCTGCCCTGCAGATCAAGGGCAAACACGCAGGCATCTGAACCTGAGCCTCAAAAGCGTTGCAGGCAGGGCGCACAGTTGAAGGATCATGAAACCTTTGGGTGGGTGTAAACGACATATCTATGTACCTCAGTTCGGATTTCCCTAACTATACCCTTTTGTGCTAACCGACTTACCAAAGCCATTAATCCGAAAGGCTACGTCTAAACACCTTCTTACTTGCCGCTCAGATTCATGAATACATCTTACAAAGTTCCTGGCACAGCCACAGCTGCCATGCAGGACTGGAGTAGGCATCTTAACAGTCTGGAGCGACTGGTCTTGTCGGGAGGAGTTCGCTCGCCGCCAAACCCGAAACCCAAGTTCCCGAATGTGCAGCCCAACACCCTTACGTGAACTCTGAATTTATGTCCAGGCAATCTATAAGTCCGATGATTCATTAAACCAAATTGGTTCCGCTATCAACGCCTTCCAGAGCCCTGCATAAAATATCCTACCGGAGCCCCGCTCTCTCTCCCTCCCTAAAGGGATCCCAGATTTCTCCCGGTGTGCCTCGGCGAAGGCAACCTGAGGACGGGCCCACCGGGCGAGGTTGCCCCCGCCCCAGTGCTCGTGGGGAGCCTCTGGAAGGACACACGCACTTCGGTTCTGTTCTGGGTCTATGAAGTTTAGGCTCTATAGGTCTTGACGTTGTTGTTCCCTTGGTGAATGTGGATAAATGTTCTTGTTAGTAGGGTCTGGTGGAAGGCTCAAAAGATTGTTTGGTAGAATATTGTGAGCACATGGGGACAGGGTTAGGTCATATTGTTTTTGTTTTTGTTCCATGGTGGGGAAACCTCCAGCCTCAGGTGAACTTGCAAATGCGGGATGCGAGAATTCCGTGCTTCGAAGCTACTGTGGAATGGTCTTTGGCAGTGTCTCACGTCCACCTCGCCGGATCTGTCACAGGCCGACATGCACCATGTGAACGGAACACAAGGTCTGGGGCAAACTCTCCAAACCCTACAAGGATCCCGACCTTCGCCGTAACGCCGATGTCCAAGCGCTCGCAAGGTGACAGGACCTCCAAGTATTGGTTTCCCGTTAAGTTGATGTAGCAGCCGGGCTCCAAGTACCCTGGGACGATAGAGGGGTTGTCCGCGCTACTGGATCACTGATGGACGGTGCGATACTCGTCCTTCGACGATCTTGGGTTCTTGTGCGCCTCACTTACCGTCGTTTTACTCAGCTCGAAACCCAATGACTACAGCGGCTGCAAAAAGTCTCCACAGCACGCCGAACCCGTAGGGGCCTGTGTTCTTTCTTGCATAAGTCCGCACAAAGCAGCCGTCGATCCAGATGGAAAGCACTGTCGGATCCTATACTTGAAGAAATCGAACCGTCTCATGACCATGATGAAAAGCCGCTACCAGAAAACAAGTCATTGCTCCTAATACAAGCAATCTCCTATCTGCGCGCACTTGCAGACTTACGGATAACAGCTACACTATACCGCTCTTTCAAAAGCAACTATAAGAACTATCACACCTAAACCCGAAAATCATAACCCCCCGAACCCCAGACTCTGATTCGTCCCTTTGTCCGATAGACCAAAAAACCGTCAAACCAACGAAACCTTATCGTAGTAGTTAGGAACAAAACATAGCAACCGAGTAGCCCTAGTGTTTGCTACTTTGATATACCTCAAACTCTAAACGCTATATAATGGGTGTATATAACAGCTATATTCAGGGTATATACCTAGGGGTCCTTGTTGAGGGTCCCTCCTTTTACCCTTGGATACCAACCCTTATAGCAACCCTAGTCGTTGCTACTTGGATCCCCTTCGCCGCCTGGAGCTCCACCGCGAAGCTGCGCGAGCCATCGCCGCGGTGCTGCAGAGGCCCCGTGGCGAGTAACAGGCCGCCTCCTGCTCCGAGGAGCGCTAGGACTCAAAATTATGTAAGAATATGTGTGAAACTATGAGATACGGTGGATGAAATAAATCCTGCATTACCTTAAGGACCCTAGACTAAGGGATTTGCGGTATATTCCTTATTATGGGTAATGCAGGATTTAGATCATCAACAGTATGATATAATATGATATGATATGATATGATATGATACGTCATGATATGATGTGAGATTATATGGTATGATCTGACGTATGATATACGATCATATATCTGACATACCATGGTTTCGTCGGGCTTTTCGGGGTCAGGGCTAAACTACTTTAGGGCCGCAAGATTTAGAAAATATAAACCATACATGGTGTCATTGTAGAGTATAGGGTCCTTGGCACAAGGGTGACGTGGTCCGTTAAGGGTTCGAACAAGATCCCTGATTCAGGGAGCTAGCCTTGTACCAGGTTGGGTTTGCTCTAGTCAGAACCTGAAAGTTGGTGTGTCTGGATACACTGTTAAAAGCTGTCGGCTCTTGTGTAGAGGTTTCCTGTGCAAGCCAAGTGCTTGGGTCTGCAGTTGGTGCAAACAAGATTCCATGATGCAAGCGCTCTGAGGGAGGTTTCTGCCTGCCGATCATGGGTGCTGCCTGGAACCAACAGCCCCTCAGCGCATTGGAACCTCTATCACACTCCACCCGAAACTAAAATCACCTAATCAAGGGGTATCTGTGCAGTGTCACTTCCCTTGAGCTTTGTTCCAAGGCATGGGCGGAGTCCGACTTGAAAGCTCTGATGCCATGCCTAAAGCCCTGAATCAAATCCTCACGGAACCCCGAAGGGTGCCATTCAGAAAAAAAAACCTTTACGAAACCCCCAGAGACTCCAATATCCCTTAATTAAGGAATACGCCTTAAATTATAGTAGGATCCTTAATATGATATAAGGTATATTCCTTCATTAAGGGATATTGGAGTCTCTGGGCCCCTGACTCGAACCCTTCTCAAGGAATACGAGACTTCCGAGCAACCTCTGAAGGCTGAGTCCAAAGCCCAGCAGCTGAGGTCCCCCGGCCTTTCCGCTCGCTCGGCTGCCTCTTCGCGTCTCGAGACTTGTTTGTTTGGGGTTTAGAGGGGTTAGGGTTGAGGGTTTAGGGTTTTAGGGTTTATGGGTTTTGGGGTTCACGGGCTTAGGAGTTTCGGACTTGGGGAGACGCACCGCTGATCCCTGGTGTTCTCCCGTTTTTCAGGTTTAGTGCCCAGATCATCATCCTGCTGTTCCATGTAAATGCTGTCGAGAATGGGATGTTCGCACTCATTGTGAAAACCCATGTGAACAAGAGCAACGCGTAGCCGCTGCACGGCCTTACCGCTCGGAGGCAACGAGGTGTCGGCAGGTCAATCTTCTCACCGTGGTGCGCCTGTCACTTCTGACGAGCTTAGATGCAAGTCAACGATGTACACATGACATATGCACACATACACGCACAACATCTACACATACACGTCAATACGTGTGAGCAGGTACATATACATATACCTTTACATATAGATATACATACATACATACATACATACATACATATATATATATATATGCCCGTTTGTAACTGGGTAAGTGCGTGTGACTGTGCGTGTGCTAGTGTGTCGAAGCAGGCATGCCACTGTTTTTGATAACCCTGGAAAAAGGACTCTGTATGTAATGCGTGATGTAAATGCAAGTTTATGTGTATACGCACAATCAATTCTCTGCCCCTCTTCTAGCTAATGAGACGTACTTCTTTTTAGAAGACTTATGGGAGGAAGCCCCGACGGGCCGAAAGGGCGTGAGCTTATCCTGCTGATGGCAGCACGGACTGCTCGGAGCTGGAGTTCAGGGTCCGGGGGCAAGGGTATAGCTTCTTTCGGTCTTTCTCTTGATCATGCGCGCCTTTTGGATGCTCTTGGCTTGATGATTTTGGCTTGCGTTCGGACTCAGGCTTTGCTTCGTTATCGAGGCCCCGAGCTCAATTTAGTCTCAACCAAACGCAGGCGATAAGGCTTAGGAGAGAAGAGGCTTCTAAGCTGTGAGCTGCGAGCCTCGCAGAAACTGAGTGGCAGGACCACCACCTGACAACTTCCCAGACGAGGAGCTTTCTGAGCTGAGCGATCCAGTGATCCATGAGTTTGCATGCGCCTCTATAGGATTAGGGACCACCCTAAGTTGGACACCTGATCCGGGATCGTGCGAGCGCCAAACTTTATCGGAGGAGCACCAGAAGCACCTGGAAGACCCTAAACTCTAAACCCCCACCGGGCCCCTTCACCGTACTTTCGAAAGTGAAGTGCGCACTTCACCTGGGAGTTTCCGAAATTAGGGGTAGCCTATTTTGGGGTCCTTATAATAAGGATCCTACTATTTAGGGTCCCATATTAGGGTCCCCGCATTTTCGGAAACTCCCACCTGGGAGGAGGCCCCCCCCCCCTACAACCGGCCTCCGGGCAGCGATCGCGGCATGCCTGGGCTCATGCTGGCTCGAAAGGCCGCCCGACGTGGGGTGGTTGTCAAAAAGAGGGTTCCTTTTTGGGTCCTTATTATAATGCGGCACCTAATATTTAGGGCACCCAAAAAGGGCCCCTAATTTTGACAACCACCCACGTAGTACAGAGGCCTTGTAATCAAAACAACAGGATTTTGGGGCAGATTCTACTATGGCTATAATAAAATAAGGTAAGGAACAGCCCAAAGAGTATGGGTAATCATTTAGGCCTCTACAGTACCAAGAAAAGGGTCCCCGGAATCCGAGACTTCCCAGATGTTTTGGGGAAACGCCCAACGTCGAACAGGCTCCACTTCAGCTTCAAACGAACATCCACTACGAGTAAACCTCGCAGCCGGACAACAAGAGCGTCTTTCAACTTACATGCGAAAATCGGTTGGGATTCCCAAATCGACAGGCAACATACGACAATCAACCCTCAACTTAGTCCTGCAAAAAAGAAGTGCAAGAAACCCCCAAAGCCCGATAGGGCCCTAAAACCCCGAAGCTTCCAACACCACCCCAGATCCTGCAAAACCCTCCCAAACCCCCCCAAAACAAACATTTGTCTAAACCGTAAACTCCCTTCCGCACCGCCCTCCACGCTTGCCAAAGCTACCATTTCTACACCCTCAACACTAAAACCCGCAAGAACGCACGAACAAAAAGCTTTCCTACACCCTACAACGAAGTCGTGGGTCTGTTCGAACTACCCCGAAGCCCCAGACAAGACCATCCACATCCAGCGCAACCCTCCCAAAGGGGATGCCCGGGAGGCCCTGGAGCCTCGGAAAGCGCCGTGGCGGCGTCCCGACGCAGGGCACCGGAAGCGAAGCTGGCCAAGCGCACACTCCTTGCAAAAAGCGATCCCAATGGACACTCCCAGGATCTCCCGTGACCCGCCCAGCAAGGTGGTTTCTGGTCCCAAATAACGGGGGCATTTTAGTGTCTTATAGAGTCTAGCTGCCAGGTCCTAGGTCCAGGTCTACAAGGGGTTCTACGGGCTTCTGGCAGGGGTTCGAGGGTTTAGGGCGTTTAAGATTCGAACGCGGTTATATAGGGGTTCTACTTAGAGGATCATGGGACTTAGTAAGTAGGTTATAATTGGGGTTATAAGTCTCCTAAGTGGGGTTATCCTAATTATAACCTACTTATAACCTTACTTACTAAGTCCCATGAGCCTTCAAGTATCATTGGAAATCGATGGGGGGATTCTAGCTTCCACCGGCCTCAAGACCCTGGTAGTACCCTAACTCATCCTAGATCTGAACAGTCGAATCCGTTTTGATCCCACGACCCGGGGCCCCGAATGCAAAGAAACCCATGAAGGAGAAAACAAGTGCATGAGAACACCATCATAACATCACAAGCAAACCGAAAACTTCGGAACCTCCTTGTACAAGTCTACAGCACCGTGTTTCAAATCAACCTTTAGAAGCGCTTCAAACTGAGCCCCCTAAACTTTGCGAAACTCTAAACTGTGGCAAACTCCCACCTCGCTCGGTCAATGCTCGAAAGCAGCGAAAGTGCCCGGCACCTGCCACTACTGGCTCCTACCTTCCTCTCCGCTCCCGGTTCGAGGTCTCTGACAGTGCCGTGGGCCCATGCACACCACTTCGGGCTGGGGTCTTTCGCGTGGGAAGCGAGCAGTCTTGGGGCACGGCCAACCGGTTCGGGCGAGGTCACGGAAATGAACTTCTTGGAAGGTGATGTCGTGGCCCTCCTGGAACGGCTTCATCAGCTATGCAGGTGCTCGGGTTTCGGAGCATGCAGCTGTCACAGCTGAGTACTGCTGGTTTGCGAAAGGACCTGACAAGCGATCTGCCGTCATGGAAAGTTCTTTCCGTGCCATGTCAGCAGGAAAACCAAAAGCATCTGATCGCGGAGGCTCGACAAGCGAAGTTTTAGGGTTCATGTATGCTGCACCGGGCTCGTCAGCTCTTTTGGATCCTCCCGCATCTCGCTGAAAAGTTGCGGTCATGTCGTAAACGGTCTTGGCACTGAATGCAGAAGCGAACTCCCCGACCTGAGGTCGAGACACTGGTTGGTCCCTTCACCAGCGGGGAGGTGCTTCAGCATCCTAACCACTCACTAAACTCACTAAACAGCACTTCTGGTGCCGGAGCACCACTCGCAAGAGGACAAGGAAGTCTCAACACTCTGCAGCAGGTCGAGTGCGTACATCGACATACCTCAACGGTTCAATTGCACAGATGCAGACATCGATATCAGTTCAGTCAGTGGCTAGACGTAAGTTTCGGAACCAAGCGACGGAAGACCACCAAAAACTCCCCAAGAGCACGCCAAGGGCACCCCCCGATGCAGTTTTGGTCAACACAGCCGTTTCAAACAGAACCTTCAGGGAACCAAGCAGAACAACCGAAAACAACAGCTGTATGTGTATACGGGTCTCTCTATTTGCATACACACACGCAGACTTTTGATAGCTCACGGATGCCTTTTTAGGTTACATGCTGTGATCAGTCTGATGCAGTACGCAATGGTTGGGGGGTGAGTCATCTTTCCTCGTCCCCTTGGCAAAGTGAAAGCCATGGTCTCGTCACGTTGGAGAGAAGGGGCAGAACTGTGCCATCTGCTCAGATCAGCGCATAAGCCGCCTGTCCATGGCTTCCACGAAACGACTACGAAGGAAAGTTTGGTGCCTTGTCACAGCAATCAGCTGCAGCTCTCCTCACTGCAGCCATCTGCTACAGACAAGCATCAGCAGGCGTAGAACTTGCAGTCTTAAGGGTTGCAGACTCCTGGATGTTCGGCGATCGATGCAAACTCACTCCCCGATGGCACCTGTCAACAGTCTTTCGCTGCCGCCACTGAAGCCCCTAATCGCCCAGTCATGCCACCGAAAACATCCCCGTCTGCAGCCCCGCCATGAACCACCACCACCGGTGGGTGGTGCTCGTAGCGACCGCAGGGAAAAGCGGCTCATGCTTTTGGAGCGACGAGAGCCGTCGGGGCTGACCAGCCGACGGCTTTGCAAACGCCTCGTGGAAAACGCTCCGGGAGCCAATGATCAAAGTCCACGTGCACGGGCCACGTCAGCCTCGACTCTCGACACACAGTGTGAGGGATCAAGGAGGACATCCGACAACTCCTGATAGGCCTCACATAACCTTCTGTACGCAGATGGATCATACATATCTTCTGCGACAGTATTGGCGGGTGGGCGGTTACGAAAACTTCGTTGGCAACTACTTGCGTGCTGTACCAGGGAGGCTTTGAACAGGTCAACCACAGGCATGGGATGAAAGACACCCCCAAAAACGACAGGCAAATCTTCGTGGGTAAAGTATCCAGGCCCCTTCCTCAAGTGAACAGTTTAACCAACAACCATCGATTCAGCAACACGTTTGCCATGTTCTGGATGTGCCCGGTGCGGAAGATCCGCGACAGCAGAATATGGGCAATCGAACACAAACCTGTACTAGCATCAGTACGAAAGCCTGATCGTCTCTGACTCCAGCACTTTGATGAAATCATCCCGGAACTGCTGCGTGACATGGTATCCAAGCGACCTCGGCCTCGGGCACTCAATGAGAGCCGCGCAGGCGCCGCGACCTCACGCTGAGGAGGGGGAAAGCTTGTAAAACCCCGAAGCCCTGGGCCCTAACATGGAAGCTTGGCTTCTTGTTTCGGACGAGCGCTGCACGCGCACACCCCAACCCGATATATATATATATATATATAGATACACATACATATAACACGGCTGTCACCTTAGCCAGTCAAGCCACGTGCCCGAGTTCTCCTGGGTCTCCTCCCAGACAGATGGCAGATTCATGTCAGAAATTACAGGGGCCGAATCTCAATCGTGGGATTTCCTGTGGGGTTCATTCAAAGGGGTTCAGCCAAACAAGGAGCCCAGGTTCTCAGGATTTGAAAACAAGACTCAAATTTGCAGGCTTAGGGCTTATGACTTCCGGGTTCTAGGTTGTAGGGTTTCAGAGTGGTTTTGAGTCTCCCTTCGTATGCGTCGGGAGGCCTCCACCCGGCACTTAGAGTAGCCCCGCCAGCATTTCTTCGACCACGGCAGCGGCGGGTAGCACCTCGAGCGAAGGCGGAGAACAGCACGGCACCTAATGCAGAAGCCGACATACATTTACCAATACCTTTGTCGAGGTTCCTTTTATCAGTTTTTGACTTTCGTTTTTGTTATTTAAACAACCAAAAGTCCCTCTTCTAATTATTAGGATTAGGGGACCCGATGCCGACAAGGTCTGTCGAGTTAGAGGCTGTGGCAACTACCACAGGCCGGTCTCTGATGCAGCCGACGCTGTAGTGAACTATACGCCCACACCCTGAGTGAACCCCAGGGGGAATCTAATTTCGGGGAAACGAAGATGAGCAAACAACATCAAGGCACCAGTTTCCCTTTCGCCGCTCACGGATGCAGAGGAACTCGTAGCTCTTGTATCCTGCCAGGTCTCGGTCGTTCATCCCTCGTTCTTGTTCAGGAGCTTAGGTTTAGGGTTTCGGGAAACGCGGCTGGACCCAGACCGTTACTGCAGTAGACTCTCTTCCTTAGTCATGGAATGCTGAAGCTTCCCCGAATGTGCTTACAACTTGTCCGACAGTCGGCCAGCAAGACTATTGAACCTGCTCTGGCACTACATGGCCAAGTCGCCGTCACCACGGGCCCGGCCCTTGTACTTCTCGCAGCTGTTGCTGCCTGAGCAGAGAGTGGGCAGTTACTGACTGTAGCCACCTGGACTTGATCCGCTCTTCATTTCTCAGTCACGCCTGCCTCCGACTGTTCGGACGCAACATTAAATTACAATACAAGAGAACTCCTTTCAAGGACCAAATCGTCAACAGCAAGGAAACGAGTGTCGCAGACTTGATGTCGGCAAAGGCCAGCGAAAATTGTTTGCATGACAAGCTCGGCGCCTACCCACTTCCCTCGGATGTAGGTGGTTTGCTGCAGCAAGTTCTCGTACATCGTTGAAGACCCCCGACAGCACTCTGGTGTTTTCATGGGTTTCAGAAGCAGAACGAGCGCAGTGCCTACAAGTAGACCACGAACATTGAAACATTTCTGAACCCACGAACTCTGATGGAACCCCGTACAGAACCCCAAGGGGCCCTTGAAAAGATGCCTTCAAGCCCTGAATACTGCAAGGGCGCAAGAAGGCAACTCTGGTTCCGGCTCGGGCTCCGCAAGGCACCTGGGGATTTTCGAAGATTTGGGGATAGTTTAGCAGCCTTAGTGGATAGAGTAAGCGGTTTTGGGCGCAGGGCTTGGAGTTGCTGTTGCCGGATCATGCTAAAGCACTAGACTATCTATCTTGGCGAATTGGGGGGGCTCTTGATAAGGACCTTCTGGGGGGGGGGGGTTCTTAGAATATGTCCTACAAGTAACTGTCTACACTGGGATCCCTCAGCCTTAAGCCCTGCGGGATCCTACCAGAGAGGGTCTTGCTTAGAGTCTTCATTGGAACTCGGTTTTGAGGACACATTCTGCTATGATTGGAGTAAGTACTACTGTAAGCAAAGGGTCTGGAGCTGTGCTGATTATACCTAAATTCATATAGTACGTACATCTACAGTACAACAGGGACTAACCTTCCCTTGCTGTCGGCAACTCCCACCTCTCACAGCCAGCGCATGACTTCCAGTCCTCGGCGAACGGCCGAAAATGGCGGCTGAGGGTTCAGGGCTTCGGTGCAGGGATTTGGGGTTTCGGATTTTGGGTAAGCCATGGAAATACTGTGCGTACTTTTTGGACATGTCCGCACTCGTTTTTGTTCTGAGTTCACTGAGGTCTGCGGGTTGAAACGGCTTGATGATGAGTTGCGGTGGGTGGCTCAAAATCGGCAAAGATGAAACCACCGATCAAGCTAAGTCGCGCAAACACGATTCCATGCGCTGGCAAAGAAGGAGCACCAGGAGCGGCATTGCCCACCTGAGGCGATCAGGATTAGACGGCACATTTCTCACCCGAAAATCCAAAGAGCCTACTTCCCACCCACCCGCTGTAGGTAGACTTGTTGAGTACACTAGCTTGCCTGCAAACTCCCAACAACCAGCACACCAAACTGCTCAACGAGTGGCTTGACGATGCCGCAACCGTAGTGGTGGCGGCAAGTGTTGTCGCAGGATCCATTACCACCGTCGTGGTGGACAGCGTAGTGATGCTGGTTGCAGTAGCCGTGCTCACGGTGGTGGTCGACAGCGTCGTGTCGGTCACCGTGGTCACCGTCGTGGTTGACAGCGTCGTGTCGGTCACTGTGACGGTGGCGGTGGCCGTAGTCACCGTCGTGGTTGACAGCGTCGTGTCGGTCACTGTGACGGTGGCGGTGGCCGTAGTCACCGTCGTGGTTGACAGTGTCGTGTCGGTCACTGTGATGGTGGCAGTCGCCGAAGTCACCGTCGTGGTGGCGGTGGTGGACAGCGTCGTGTCGGTCACGGTGGTGGTGGCCGTGGCCGTGGTGGACAACGTCGTTTCGGTCACCGTGATGGTGGCAGTGGCCGTAGTAAACGTCGTGGTTGACAGCGTCGTGTCGGTCACGGTGGTGGTGGCTGTGGCCGTACTCACCGTCGTGGTTGACAGCGTCGTGTCAGTCACGGTTGTGGTGGCAGTTGCCGTTGTGGACAGCGTGGTGTCAGTCACGGTGGTGGTGGCAGTGGCCGTGGACACCGTCGTGGTTGACAGCGTCGTGTCGGTCACAGTCGTCACCGTCGTTGTCGACAGTGTGGTGTCAGTCGCTGTGCTGGTGGCGGTGGCTGTCGTTGCCGTGCTGGTTGCGGTGATGGTGGTCTCTGTCACGGTGGTTGGCATCTCCAGCAGGGGTGGAAAATTCACATTGCTGGCATCGCCTCCCTGGGCACTGCTGCCCCATGTACGCACTTCCTCTGCACTCACCGCAACGAAAGCGAACTCGTTGGAGTACACCTCGAAGCCCGTGAAGTCGCCACTGCACTCCCCACCAAAGCCCGGAGAGCCCCAACACCTTGCGACTCCGGATACCTCGGAAATCAAGTTCTCAGATGGCAGACCAGACTAGTGACTAGACCAAGCTGACCCTGTCCATGAAGTTGTGATTCATGTTGTTCACGCTAGGTCGTTAGACGGCACACACACGTAAGAAGTAGGGCTCCTGTTCCCGATGAGTGCATGGAGCCTTGGATGAGCAAGCCTCACAAGATGGACGGCTTTTCGGCAGTTGGCTACTGGTCACTTGCGGGGGATCATCGATCCCAGGCATGCCTGCCATTAGCATTGCTGCGTGTAGGCTCTTCTTTGCTCTATGAACCGCACTTACATCATCGTGCACTTACATCATGGGGGGGAGGAATGCGGGCACTCATTGCAGGCGCAAAGCCACGGCAGTGATGCCCTACTGATAATTCAACGGAGCAGCCGGGTTCATGGCCATGAAAGCATAGCCGGTGGCATAGACGTTGGTGAAGCCTTCGAAGGAGATGCCCGAACAATCGCCTGGCGTTTAAAGGGAACTCCAGAAAGGTTAGAATATGGTTTCAGGGTAGGATTAGGATACCTTATAATTTACCATAAAGGGTTTAGGATAATCATATTCCAACTTTCTTGCTTTTACTTTATTCGCAAAAGGCGACGGGTGACACGGAACTAAAGCACTTGAGAAGGAGCGCGCTGCACGAGAGGGAATAGAGCATTTGAGAAAGGAGCAAACCGCTCGAAAGTGACGGCTACAACATCTGAATAAAAACAAAGACAAGATCGCACGAAACGAACCAGAGCACTTGACAAACAGGAGCAAATTGCATATGCGAAAGAAGAGGCTGACTAGAGTGATTGAGAAACAGGGAACAAATCGCTCAAAAGGGACTGGAAGAGTATGCGACAGCAGGAGCCGGTCGAAAGGACTAGAGTAAACCGTTGACGGGGGCGGGTGTTTGAAGAAAAGGAGCTATGGGCTGGAAAGGGCCTGGAGCTTGTGAGAAACGGACTAGAGCAGTTAAGAAACAGGCGGCAAACCGCTCGAAACGAGAGAAATTGGTGCAAGCAGCAAGCCGCTCGAAAGGGACTTATTGAAGTGTGTTAGAAACGAGGAGCAAGCCACTCGAAAGGGACTAGAGTTTTTGAGAAACAGGGAGCAAACCGCTCGAAAGGGACTAGAGTGATTCAAAAACAGTGGCCAAACCGCTCGAAAGCGACTAGAGCGTTTGAGAAACAGGGAGCAAGCCGCGAAAGCGACTAGAGCGTTTGAGAAACAGGGAGCAGGCCGATCCAAAGAGACCAGAGAATTGCAGAACAAGGAGCAAACCTCCCAAAAGACTAGAGAATTGCAGAACCAGGAGCAAACCGCTCGAAAGAGACTAGAAAATTGCAGAACCAGGAGCAAACCGCTCGAAAAAGACTAGAAAAATTGCCGAACCAGGAGTATAAAATTGCAGAACCAGGAGCAAACCGCTCGAAAGAGGGTAGAGAATTGCAGAACCAGGAGAGAACCGCTCGCAAGAGACTAGAGACTTGCAGAACAAGGAGCAAACCGCTCGAAAGAGACTGGAGAATCGCTGTTCTGCAAGTCTCTAGTCTCTTTCGAGCGGTTTGCTCCTGGTTCTGCAATGTCTCTAGTCTCTTTCGAGCGTTTTGCTCCTGGTTCTGCAATTTTCCAGTCTTTTTCGAGCGGTTTGCTCCTTGTTCTGCAATGCTCTAGTCTCTTTCTAGCGGTTTGCTACTTGATCGGCAATTTTCTAGTCTTTTTCGAGCGGTTTGCTCCTGGTTCTGCAATTCTCTAGTCTCTTTCGAGCGGTTTGTTCCTTGTTTCAATCCTCTAGTATCTTTCGAGCTGCCTGCTCCTTGTTCTGCAATTCTCTAGTCTCTTTCGAGCGGTTTGCTCCTCGTTCTGCAATTTTCTAGTCTCTTTCGAGCGGTTTGCGAGCGGTGTGCTCCTTGTTCTGCAATTCTCTAGTCGCCTTCGAGCGGTTTGCTCTTTGTTCTGCAATTCTCTAGTCTCTTTCGAGCGGCTTGCTCCTAGTTCTGCCATTTTCTAGTCTTTTTCGAGCGGTTTGCTACTGGTTCTGCAATTTTCTTGTCTCTTTGGAGCGGTTTCCGCCTGGTTCTGCAAATTGTTAATCTCTTTGGAGCGGTTTGCTCCTTGTTCTGCAATTTTCTATTCCTGGTCCGGCACTTTTCTAGTTTCTTTCGAGCGGTTTGCTCCTGGTTCTGCAATCTTCTAGTCTCTTTCGAGCGGTTTGCTCCTTGTTTTGCAATTCTCTAATTTCTTTCGAGCGGTTTGCTCCTTGTTCTGCAATTCTCTAGTCTCCTTCGACAGGGAGCAAGCCGCTCGAAAGGGACTAGAGTTTTTGAAAAGCAGGGAGCAAGCGGCTCGAAACGCACTAGAGAGTTGAGGGCTCCATGCTCTGCATGGTGTTTTGTGGCTTGAGCTTCGCAGGAACTCATGTTCCCGGGAGCGTCGTCCCAACACGTACAATTCACAAGTCGACTGCAATGAGCCGACTCTTGAGACTTCCGCAATCGGAGACCTCGCCTCATCTTCAACACTCTACCAGAATCAGATGCGCGGCCGGCTCTGGATGTTTTCATTGAAAAAGCTTCTGAGCTATCCCGTAGCCGTCATGCCCGCCGCCGCCCCCCAGCCCCCAAGTTTGCACTCCCACATCCCGCCTCCGAAAGACGCGTGGCCCCAGCAGCTCGCAAGGCCGTTCACAGCATCCAAGGCCACGAAGGCTGCACTGGTGCGGTAGATCTGGGAGTTGCTGGTAAAGAAGACCTCAGTTACAGTTTGCGACTTGAGATAGGATGAAGCGTTATGAAACACCTGACTGCAAAAATTTAACCCTCCTTATTCCCCACCCTGGCCTGCCTCTCGCTCCTTCCTTTTGACTCCTTCCCCATGCGCTGCAAACAGGATACTTAGAGGATCATGGGACTTAGTAAGTAGGCTATAATTGGGGTTATAAGTCCCCTAAGTGGGGTTATCCTAATTATAACCTACTTATAGCCTTACTTACTAAGTCCCATGAGCCTTCACGTAAGCGATGTGACAAGACTGAGGCTCGCTGCTTTCGAGTGGCATTGCTGCAGTCGCCTCCATTGTCTGGGTTGCCCCAGCATTGACCGCTGCCACTCTTGAGGGCGAGGAAAGCGGAGTTGGTGGAGAAGATTTGCACCTTCAAGAGACGTTACTAATTAAAGGATTAGGGCGATTAGCCTTCAGGAGTGTCCAGAGGACCCAATACAATTCGGTACTTGGGAGTAGTACAACTGGCAATGGAGCCCATCACTTGGTCCCATGAGACCCTAAACTAAACGAGTCTGCCGACAAGCTTGTCCTCCGAGAAACAAGACTCTTCCTAAAGGAGAGTCTTGCCCAATAGGTTGGGCCTTATAACAAGTAGAACAGGGTTTTTGGGAATAGTAGACGATGGGGCTACGGAAACCTAAGGACTGGCACACCTAACTATCCGAAAAGTCACTAAAGACTGCTCTCAAAGCCGTACAAAACCGTATGAAACCCTATAAGGCTCTTAACAGGACTACAAGTAGCCAAAACCCTATCATGAGGCCCTACAATGAGGCCCGTAACAGCGACAGGCTATGAAACCCCCGGTCCCCTGCAGCGAATGAGATGGGAGTTTCCGAATATAGGGGACCCTAATATATTACCCTAAATAGTAGGATCCTTGTTATAAGGCCCCCAAAATCAGGTACCCCCCCCCCGGAAACTCTAAACCCCAAACCCTTTATAGAACCCTTCATAGATCCCTTTAAAGGAACCCTTATGGATCCCTTTAAAGGTACCCCTGATTGTCGGGAACTCCCAGAGATCTTGGTTGAATCCCCGCGCCTCGCCAGTGAAGTCGATGCTGCTGCAGTCGCCGCCGGCTTGACCGTTACCCCAGCACCTTACGGTTGATGATATAAATCCTGCATTACCTTAAGGACCCTAAACTATGGAAATTATGGTATATTCCTTATTATGGGTAATGCAGGATTTATATCATCAACCGTAGTTAGGGTTTAGGGTTTGGGATTTAGAGTTCGAGGCTTTGGGTCCCCCAACACCTTAGGCTTGTTTGGGGCTTCGGATTGTAAGATTTAGAGCTTAGGTTTGTTGGGGCTCGGGATGGTATAAGATGTAGATAGAGACTTCGAGCCTGAGGGCCTAGGGTTTTAGAGCAGGCTTCAGGCTTCACTTAGGCTGGTCCCGGGGAGGAAGTGAGACACCCACACAACCGCCGACACCCTGCTCCCAACTCTCTGAAATAAATTCCAAGACATAATTTCAGGAATAATAAACCCTGAACCCTAAACCCTAAACCTTATAAGCCTTATAAGCTGAATAAAAGAATGAATCGAGAAGAGTGGCTCGCCCTGACCACTGTTGCGGTTCAATGCCAGGAAGGCCTGGCCGTTGGTGTACACGTCCGTGATGCCCGTCAGAGCGACGCCACTGCAGTCGCCTGAAGTCACTTCGAGGATCAAGAGGGGCTTAGGGTTCCTTAAAGGGCTCCTTAAAGGGTTTAGGGTTTAGGGATCTATAATATCAGGGTTCTATAAGGGGTAGTTTAGGTTACTTAGAGGAACTTAGTAAGTAGGTTATAATTGGGTTATAAGTCCCCCTAAGTGGGGTTATCCTAATTATAATCTACTTATAACCTTACTTACCAAGTCCCATGAGCCTTCAAGCAGAGGTCGCAGAGCGGATCAACTGAAGGGAAAGTACAACGAGCTGCGATGCTTATGGCGATACTGTGTGCACGCCGAAGCCGAAACCGCCCCCCCCTCCCCATGCCTCCATACAGGCCAAAGCCCCAGCATCGGATGGTGCCCGCAGCTTTGTTCAAGGCCACAAAGGCATAGTCGCCAGCTACCACCTGGCGTCACGGATTTTAAGCTTGTGGTCCCAAAGGGGGCGGCAGGTTGCCCTAGATATTCCAGTTAGGATACTCATACATACATGGGTTGTGCCTCGGTGACGCCAGTGAAGTCAACTGTGCTGCAGTCTCCGCCAAAGGAGCTGTGACCCCAGCACTGTCCAGAGTTGCCGCCGATCGCCACCTGTGGTTCGCATCCGCACAAATGGCAGCGGGGCTTCGAATGAGCCAAACCAGCAAGAGATTTAGATCCGTTCTTTGGGGGCACGTGGCGTGGTGCTTGCTGCGTAGATGGCTTCAGTGGCCACCCGGAAGCAACACACTGGCAACAGGATCCTGCTGTACATGCAAAGCACGTCTGAACCACCAGAAGTGGGACATCTCTATCTCTTGCCAAGATGCAAAGGCCAGAAGATTCCCATAAATCTTGCTGACCTGTGAGAAGTCCACTCCACCGCACTCCCCACCATAAGCCGCCGAGCCGAAGCAAAGTCCTCACGTCGGCTAAGGGTTTGGGGGGGGTGGTCAGGGTTCGGCAGGGCTCGGCGGTTAGAGTCTAATCGGGGTTCAGGATGTGAGCCTCATCGCAAGAGCCCCGACACCCTGCCCTAAACCCTTCCAGATGCACCCAAATCCTGGATCCTAACCCCTTAGCCCTTGGCCCTCGCCTCGGCGGTTCACCGGATCCAGCGCAGCAAAGCTGTAGTCTGTGGTCGCGACTTCGGTCATTCCCGCGAGGTCCAAGCCGGAGCAGTCGCCTTGTCGAGCAATATGGGTTAAGGATTTAGGGGTTTTGGGGTTAAGGATTTAGGGGTTCGGGGTTTAAGTTAAGTTGTTTACAGTTGAGCCATCCAATGGGGCACGTGTCAATGTTCCCCTGTCACGGCTTAGGTTTAGGGTTGGAGTTGAGATGACTATTGCCACTATGCTTTGTTATCATTGCTGCTCTTCGCGGCATGGCTCGTGTTGCAAGTGCCGTTGTTGCCACCACTACAGTACTGTCATGAGCATGATGACAACTCTGGCTACATATTGCTACGGTTGTATGACGTTTGTGGGCGGTGATTGGGACGATAATTCTGCTTCTCGGTGCTTCAGCCCAAACCCCAGAGATACACATATAAGATGGAGATATTGAAACGAACGAACTTATAAGGAGGCTGAGCGAGCGCACGAGACGAAGCATGAACGAGCAAAGAGGACCTTGCTGCAGATGCTCAATCAAACATCGACACACATCGACACACACACACACACAGACAGACACATTCTCTCTCTCTCTCTCTCTCTCTCTCTCTCTCTCTCTCTCTCTCACACACATACGCACACGCGCATGCACGCATGCACCGGAACCCGGATTGCCGACCATCAGACTCATCAGACAGCTGAGAATCTGCTGGTGGAAACGAAGCTGTCACAAGCTGCAGTGCCACTTAACAAACACGTTTTGCGAAAGGAAAGGGTTGCGAAGAGCCGTGCAAACTAGTATTGACCGACATCAAGAAAGATCCCTTGCCTCCGTTGTCATCTTTTCCCCAGCACTCGCCGCCGACACTGCTTAGCGCAAGGAAAGCGAAGGCATTGGCTTCCACCTGCCACAAGATGATTGCCATCGTGACCCCAATCGAAGACGGGAATATCGTAGGTGCTGCCCTAAGCAGATGATGGATCAGGTGAAGCGCTGCTGCAGACTGTTAGACAGCGAGGCCCCTGGCGTGTGACACTCCTCCCGCGCCTGCTGCACGTTGGAGAAGTCCACCAATGTGCAGTTACCACCGAAGCCGTTGTCACCCCAACAGGCTCCCTTGCCCGTCAGGAGGTTCACCAGAGTAAAGGCATAGTCGTTCGAGGCCACCTGTCTGGCTTTCAGAGGCGTTTCTTGGGCAAGTCTGCCCTTTTTTGAAGCTCGTGGCATGGTGTAGAGAGGATCTTGCGGAGGCCTTGACCTGCTTCCATCTATGAGCAGCTACAAGTAGCGGAAATACAACGGCAACCTTCAAGGGTTCCCCCCTAATTCCAAACTCTCCCAAAAAACTTGTAAAGTCCCACAGCAGACCAACGCCAAAGCTCTCACCTTGATGTTGCTTGCAACGGCCACGCCGAAGACGACGACCAAGCTCAGAAGCTGCACCATGCACAGAAAGCACCGGAAACCCTTGGAAAGAGCAGTGAGCAGTTCTCTGACTGCTCAAGGCTTGACTTTACAAACTGCTGCGGCGAGACAGAAAGAGGTAACACATGTGCAGCAACAACAATGATTAGAAAAGGGCCTGAACTGGGACTATGAGCAAATCGTGCCACGAATTCTTTGCCCTCGGGACTGACCTGCGATTCTCAGCGTCAAGCCTCTACTTGTCAGCCGTTTGGATTTGTTTTGGGAGCATGCTTACCCAGAAACAACAAGCCTACTTACCACTTACCACAAGCTCAGGACCAGAAACGCCGAGACAACATCCCCCTCCCAGCGGGAACCTCTTCAAACCGGCTCCACCAAATTCACAGACACGCGCCCTAAACCTGGAATCCCCAACCCTCAACCATAGAAAATATGTCCTAGAAGTCCTAACCCCAGCTTATTCCGACATCTGGGCCCCAAAAATCCCCAAACCCAGGTCACCCACGTGGCGGCGCTGAAAGATAGCCGCGCAAAGCTGCGGCTTACGGCCTCAAGAAGACGAGAGTGTCGTTTTGGGGTTCTAACAGATTTTTAGGGCTTTGTAGGAGTGTACGGCATGTCAAGGGCACATGGGGTTTTATGAGTTGTTTGGGGGTTTCCAGGGCAATACGGAAAGGGTTGGGGCCTCCGGGCATGGGCCAGCACACTACGGTAACAGGAGCGCAACCATTGGCTGGGTCAAAAGGCACGTGTCAGGAGTATGGGTTGAGGCTGGGCCTCCAACAGACCTCGAAGCATACCGCAAACCCGTCACAGATGTAACCATCAAAACTTGCAAGATAATGAAGAGTAAGCCAGCACAGCTGAAGCTCCAACTGCCAGCTGAGTGAATATCAAAGAGTCTGGCATGGGCCTGTCCCCGGTTTCACCCAGGAGTCCGCTTTGGGGCTAAGGGTTGTGAGACCCTTGCATAAATCTGAAGCCCCGAGCCCCAGTTCATAAACAACTCCCTAAACCCCAAAACCCTAAAACCCAAAACCCTAAAACCCCAAACCCACAAAACCCTAAAACCCTAAACCCTAAAACCCTAAACCCTAAACATCCTCAAACAACCGGAACTTCATTTCAGAGCCCACTCGGGTTCGGACAGGCAGTCCCGACTCCAGCACCTGCCCATGACGGTATCGGGTTTCGGGTTCAGTAGATAAGATAACAAGGAACAACTACGGAGTGGCCTCCTAAATCTTGATAAGTTCTTGTCAAGTGTAGTAAAAGTCTCCGGTGTTCCGTACCTAGCCGTCGGTGAGAACTGTTGACAGTTTCATCCCGAGCATGTAGGCTTAGGGAGACACTAGGCTCTAACTAGGGGGTTCTCTTACGCGAGTTTGGCGCTTAGGGTTTAGGAAGGGGTGGGAGGGTGGGGGTTCAGTATGGTTGAGCCAGCTTTGGACCCTTCCTTGCAGGAAAGCGGTTGGCAAGCGAAGAAACCTCAAGTCAGGGGCCTCCAGGAAAGCCAGGAAGCCGAAGACGGGGCACCAAGCGCTGTGGCCTCTTACATTAGCTACGGCTACAGATGCAGGATTCAGGGTTTAGAGGTATCTTCTTCCGCCGACCGAGGGCTGGCGGGGGGGACCTTTGGTTCTACGCTGTCCGGTGTTAAGCTTGTTTGTTGGTGTGGGTGTTGTGGAGGCTGTATCAACCACTTAGTAACTGAATTTTGGTTGTGCGCGATCTATAAGGATTGCGGATCTCAGGGTCTTGCTTCTTTGGGGTTTTTGGGTGCTGTTTAGCTTTGGGAAAAACTTCTAAAGTGACTTCAGTGGGAGCTTCAGGTACCGAGATCACGTGAAGTTCTCAAGTAACCTCACTCGGGTAATCGCTTACCACTCTTGGAATGCCGTTGTTACTTCAGGCACTTAGTCGCTCAAAGACTTGGCAGCATTTGGTAGCTAGAGAGGCATAGCAGCATAACCAGGACATTTTTCGCAACAGTAGACATGAGTAGAATGCAGGGTGATAACGTAGCTTACAGTAGTGGTGGCATTCTCGTATATAATTAGAACATGAAAGGGCGTAGTAGGGCGGTCGAGAATGCGCCGTTTGGTTGGGGCAGGATTGTGCTGTGCACGGGTTTGTCCGTTGATTTGCAGTCTGGGGGTTTGTAACATGTGAGCTATGACAAAAAAGGCTGCGAGGCTGGGGCTATTGCCTGCAAAGGCAGGTATGGCCATATCTAATGAGAGAAGCAAGCTTTGGCGGTCGCCAGATGATCTTGCTGCACTCAACCGTGGAAGTCAAGGTAACGTGCTAATGCTTTCGTCCACACGGAGCCAAGACTCTCATACTGTGCTCTGAAGAGTTCGCTGAAGAGCCGGCTCCATACAAACCTGGCACTCAGAACATTGAAAAAGCCCAGTTTTCCAAGCACTCCCGTGGAGTGTTTGCGGCTCCCGCCTTCTGCAATGCCCGCGCTGGGCTGCACCTTATTTGGCTGCTCTGGCTGCTCGTTCGTCGAGTTCTGTACGCTACGGCAAGCAAGCGCCGATATGTGCACGAGTCTGCATCATGCATGTATGTGTACACATACGGTACGTCTTGCCCGACACGCACGTCTCTAAGTAATTACATGCACGTCCATCACGACGCCAACCCGCCCCTCTGAACAGCTGCAACATGCCCGAGATCAATCCGACCCAGACCCAGGACCGGAAGCCCCTTCAACCCAAGCTCCTATAGGCTCGGCTCAGTTGGCGTCCAACCCCAGGACCAGCAGAAAATGACATGAGAACTCAAGGTTTGCCGGGCAGCTGTAGCTGTGGCCGCAGATGCCGCCAGGGCAGCATCCCACGCTTGAAGTGCCGAAGCATCACCTTCGAACATAGGCAAAGGAAGTGCCGGCGATGCTTGGTGGTTTGAGCGCATGACTAGCGTCCAGTCGGCACGTGACACACCGAAGCTGCCATGAACCCAAAACTCCGCACATCTCCCTCGCCATCCCTGGAACAGCCAGAAATCCGAAGCAGCGAGGTTCCGCGAGGTCCGCTCAAGCCGAGGTGCCGATAGAAATGCATTCATGCAGGAGCCGCCTCTCAACAGCGGGATTCAGATTTCGGGAGGTTTCGGTAGCGGGGTGTTAACAGCGAAAAGCCATAGATCCAAGTGCTCCCACGGACGAATCCTCGAGGTACACTAAACCCTACAGTATCTCCCTACAGTACACTTGCTGAGCCGTAGCTTTTGACGTGGGGCCAAACGGGACCTCAGCCGCATCGCCAGGGAGGCGCGGTGCTGGGCCTTCAGCTGTGGCTGCTTCAGCACGGCCTCGGCTCGGTTGCGGGGAGTTTGTCACTTGCAGCTTTAGGACCTTTAGTACCTTTAGGATTGAGGGTTGTCTTATCTTGAGTTGACAAGGACGAGTGTAATTGGTGGGCTTGAGAATTCCAGCTTTGATAAGATGATGCCCGGAAATTGCAGGCAAAGCAGCTGGCAGAACGCGCACGAGGGTGTCGAGACCCAGCCTTATCAAGCACATCCACACTCCCGGTCTCCGGGCTCCTTAAGACTTAAAGGGAACTCCAGAAAGTTGGAATATGGATTAGTGGTAGGATCCCCTATAATTTACCTTAAAGGGGTTACGATAATGATATTCCAACTTTCTGGCTTCTACTGTAAGCAAGACCTTCACAATTCCAAGCTTTCACACCGGTATCTCTTCGGTGCCTGATCAAAAACCTGTCTGGTTGCTGGCCGATGTGCGGCTCCCTGCATGAATCCATGGCGCGCTGTGCCGCGCCGGGAGAGAAAGCATCGACCGCCACATGGAGCCTTGGGCGGCAAAACAGTACTCACGGAAACTCGCAAAGCGTATCACTCGTGCCCGTTGATCGGCGTTCAGTGAAACTACTGCAGTACTAGTACAATGCGGTTGCTGCAACCCGCCAAAGACGTGAAACCAAAGCTAACACCCAAGCCGAAATGCAGAAACTCCAGACCCAAAGGCTGCAATTCGCAACACTTTCACCGGGCGGCTTCAAAGGGCGAAGCCATGCCGGGTCAGCCTAGAACACATGGGTGGTTGTCAAATTAGGGTCCCTTTTTGGGTCCTGATTATAATACGGCACCTAATATTTAGGGAGCCCCAAAAAGGGACCAGGTTTTTGACAACCACCCATATACCGTATCAGTAATATCAATATCTGTCTCACTTCTCCCATCGGAAGCACTGCCTCGGGGTGGATTGGGCGGGTGAATTGCAAGTGCTGGAGAGTATACATGCTGAAACTGCTGTAAATGAGGCGGCGACTGCATGTGCTACAATGAATGTTCAGTTGTTGCTTCTGTAAACGCTCGGCAACTTTGGAGAACTGGCGCCTGAGACCGTGCAGCCATCTGCTGTGTGGAGGCCGCTGAATACATATCATATTTCACTGGCTTCAGGTGCGATGTGGCAGCCCCACATGACGAGCGTGTAAGGAGGTCGTACATTAAGGACTCGTTTTGACGAGTCTTCGCGAGTAGTTCGTCTGCATCCCCTGGGTACGCTTGAACCGGATGGAGCCACAAAACCCTGAATTGCACATAATGCGATGCTACGTCGACACTTTGACAAATATGACCACGAAGCAGCGCCAGCAAACCCGCAGTCGTGGCCTCCCCATCGGCCATGGTGTTGCTGTCGGCGCGAAAACCCCATGGTTGGCTTGGCTCGCTTTCTTGGGATGATCGGCTTGGCGCTCAGAGCTTCGGAATCAAAACCAGAGGGGCTGTGCTTGGAATGGACCAAAAGCTAAGGGTTCTCACTGTTTGGTTCAGCTGTGTAAGCTCGCGCGATGACGTAGAGGCGTGGTATTTACTGTGTAGACTATGTGTAGGAACTGCTGCCGGTGATGTCGGGTTTGTGTCAAGCACGAGGGCCTGCCACCTAACCCGGAATCAACTACACACGTCGTGCTTGGGAGCCCATCTTCTAGCCAAGATTCTGGCCTGAGTAACAATCACTCTAGAATCGTTGCACTGGAATCCATCCTTTTCCGTAATAAAATGCAATCATATATGTACCTTGATACATGAAAGCCATATGCTCACACCAATCTGCCTTCTGTTTTTGTCATGTCTTTGCTCCTCTATCGAACATGGCTATAGCTAAGAAAGCGACGTTCTAGATCAAATGTCCGTCCTTATATCTCCTATCATAAACTTCGGCATTAGTTCATCAGATATGTCGATAACTTCGAAAACATTTCGCTCCCCTGACACAACCCCAACTTGAGGCCTCTGCTTGGCGACCCCTGTCTTGTCCAGCTCAGAACCCTCTGTACTGCTTGTTCAACAAGCGAAGTCGTGATGGACCGCGTGGGAGAGTGTTGAACTGGCAGTAACCTTGGGGCGGTCGCTTGGACGGACGGCTGAAGCAGACACGCATTAAGCATCAGACTTTCGAGCTTCGACTGCTGTAATGATGGCCACGACTACATAGTAATGAGTATGTCTGTCAACATCAACTTTTGCACAGGGCTCGTCGACTGCAGCGCTGATGCTTCTGATTTCTTCTGTGCTCCCCAAGCCAACTTGTCAATCCTTCACTGCTGCTCCGCAATTGGTGAATAGCGATGGCAAGCCTGGGCCACGTGAGTTTCGGGTGAGATTTGGGTTGGTGCTGTGGTCATCCGGAACACGGCCTTGAAAAGGTTGAGCAAAAAATCATTAGTAGAGAGCTATAGACCTCAGGGCAAGAAGGGCCGATCAAGAACCGAAGGCTCCGACCAGACACACGCAAAAATCACGACTTCTCTGAATCCCCAGCACCCCTGGCCTTTAACACGAAGCATAAACAACCCTAAACTGCTGACGCGGGGGTCTCGCTTTGGCCAGCGCCCATGATTTGTGCCTTTACGGCTTTGTAGGGATTAGAGTTTGGGGCTGGTGAGCTTTATAGGGCGCTACAGGATTCTTCTGTGTTTTTGGAGTTTGGGGTTCCGGATTCTTCAAGGGCCACCGAAACGATGGGAGCAACACTGTCGCCCCCACTTTTGGCCCGCATCGCATACCTGGGGTACCAGTGCAACGACCCAGGCTGTCGCAGCCAGGAGGGCAAAGATTCAACGAGCTTTTCACTTCAAGCGAAGCGCGGTTGTGGAGACATCTGACTCTGAACACCCTAAAATCCGAACGCATGAATTTCTTCTGGACCTCTGTAGTCCGTGAGGGACACTTCTCAGAAGGGTCTCCTTCCTGATATGTACCATGGGGAATTACAGCAATATCTTATCTACAATGGCTCAATAAGGGTCCTGCGATTCTTTGCAGAGCCCAGCCTTGGGCTTCCGGCCGCCGGGTGGCGAGAGGATAGCGGCGCCCGTACTACACCAGCTCTCGCCGGCCAGGGACGGGGACGAGGACCGCCTCTTGGGCTTCCCTTTCCGACCGTCTGGAGACACCGTGCGAAGCCGGATGTTCCGAAGCCGAAGACGAACCTGACGGGGGGCTTACTTCACTTCTTTGCGATGTCACAGCCCTCTCCAACCCCACAGCTTTCCTCCAGCAAGTGCCATCCCCTTGTAGGTTTCACCTCCAAACGCCCTAAACGAATCTTCTACTTCTTATTCAGGCACCCAAAACAGCCCCATAGAAAACAGTCAGGAGCAACCACTGTACATCCATACAGAGAAAAGTATACCCAGCCACCTCCCCGGTCGGCCGACCCTCCGCGCCGCGGAGGATCTTCAGGTCGGCCTGCCTTGCCGCCAGCACGTTGCGTAGGCAGAAGAGCTGCGGGAACCTTTGGGCTGCCCTACTGTAGGACTGTAGGATTGGTAAGGTTGCTGGCAACCTATAGTCTCCATTGTGGTTCCTTTTTTGGGTTAACCAGTTTTATGGTTAGGATCCTATAAAATAGATTTGGGTTTACCAAAAAAAGAACTACAATGGAGACTACAGGAAGATTTAGGGTCTACTGCCGGAGCCGACTTGTAGAGGTTTCTGCATGCACTCGAACGAATATGGGTTTCTTTACGGGTTCTTTAAGTCGTCCTTGAGGGCTGCAGGGTTTAATGGTGCTGTAATGATATGAAGGGCTCCAAAAGGTGTAGGGCTTCAGGTCTACAGTATTATGGGTGCTAATGGGCAGAGTAGGGTTTGGGGATAGGGTACAATTTACATATCAGAATTCCTAGTTAGTTGTAGGAACCCTCATCGTAAAGCTTAGGATCCCTTTTCGAGCACTCTCTTGTGATCCCATGGATATCGAGTGTCTGGGGGTTCCTATCGCGATAGTTGCCTCCTTCCGGTGATTCTAAGGGTACTGAAACGGGCCCATGTGAGGGAAATAAACCTGAACAAACCCCGAACCCTGCACCCTAAACTTAGAGCATTCGGCGGTTTTACGAAGATCCTTCACATCCCTAACGTCGAGACTATGCTTGGGCTTTGGGGGTACTAGAGGAATGCCCACCTGAAGAGGACGATGGGCGGAGGCACGACGCTGGCCTGCCCTTGAGACCAGGCTTTCAGCCAGCTGCTGACGCCAGGCCAAATGTCCTCCAATTGGGGTCAAAGAGGGTTTTTCGGGGTGGTGCCTTATAATCAAAACACTTTGCCCTTTAAAACCTAATCTACTTTAGGGGGTTCGGAGCAAGAGCAAGAGCCAAAGCAAGAGCAAGAGCAAAAAGCAAGAGGAAGAGCAGAAGCAACAGCGAGAGCCACAGCAGGAGCAAGATCCAGTAGGGATAAAAGAGTGCACTCTAATGACAAACCCACTGTCCGAGCTGTTTATGGCCCCCCTCATAATAATAATAACAATAGTAATAATAATAGTAATCATAATAGTAATAAGAATAATAGTAATAATAATCATAATAATAACAATAGTAATAATAACAATAATAGTCATAATAATCATAATAATAGCAATAATAGTAATAATAATAGTAATAATAATAATAATATCAGGGGGAAGGGATTAGAGAATGTCCTCCATGACGCAGTTCTTGAGGAAAGTCCGTTCGGAGCGCTTCCAACTCCCGATTCCCAGGGACACCCGGAGATCTGACACTTCAAGCGTCCGGGAGTCGAAGATGACCTGGGCTGGAGGATCAAGAGGGACTTAGGGTTCCTTAAAGGGCTCCTTAAAGGGTTAAGGGTTTAGGGATCTATAATAGAAGGGTTCTATAAGGGGTAGTTTAGGTTACTTAGAGGATCATGGGGCTTAGAAAGTAGGTTATAATTGGGGTTATAAGTCCCCTAAGTGGGGTTATCCTAATTAGAACCTACTTATAACCTTACTTACTAAGTCCCAGGAGCCTTCAAGTGGGCTGGAGGTGGATTTAAAGTCGATTTCGAGACTAGGTGGGGCTTTTAAAGCTTTTGAAAAATATAAGTACATAAGATACTCTTAAGCCCAATAAGGGAAAATATAAAATGTCCCAAAGCCCTACCTAGGAGAGCATCCAAGATCATTTACAGTTAGGGCTCTATATAGCTCTACCAACCAGGGAACCTAGAAGTTGATGCTAAGTCGATACCTAGCGGGACCTAGCGACTGATACAGAGTTGAAGGCATTGTTGTCATCCTTGTTTCGGGCTTGTAGCTGCAAGTTGCAGCTAGTGCCACCGGCGCCATCTGAGTAAGTTCTTGCGGTTGGCAGCTCCTGCTCCAAGTCTGTGGACTCGCTCTCGCTGCTGGCTCCGGCGGCGGCGGCGGCGGCAGGATCCAAGGATTCGAAATCGGGAACCCGATCTTGGGAAACATTGAGGGCGACGAGGAAGAAGCGGTCATTGAACTCTGCGGCCGGCACGCAGCAGAGGCGCAAGTTCACTTCAATCTGCCTGCATGCTCCGCTCAAGGTCACCGTTGCTGCCAGCGCATGGTGCTGCTTCTTCTGACCCTGGCCCTGTTGATCGAACTCCAAGGCCAAAGCATGCACCGAGGATCCGATGAGTGACTTGAACCGCTGCCGGTCGCTTTCCACGAGAAACTCGTCGAAGGACCGAGACCGGAGCTGTTCCACCTCACAACCCAGGAAATGGGCCAACTTCGAGGTGGGGTCTTGGAAAACGAGCTCCGAGCTCAAACAAGCCTCCGCATCGCACTGGCTCGCCAACATGGCTCGTACGGCCTCCAAAGAAGCCTTGGCATCCGCGATCTTCTGCGTCATGAGCAGGAATTGCTTCTGGCAAGTCTGCACAGCGAACCATGTCACCCAGAGCAGAACTATCGCGCATATCTCGTCCACGAACATCGCCGCAGTGAAGCTGGAGCGTAGGTACACGACCTTGACGAACAGGAAGCTGATCTGGAGCTGAAGTGCCCGCAGGTGATTGATGAGGGCCAAGCCTGCTGTGACCTTGAAAGCCATGACCAAGGTATCATCAGTCAGGTCCGGATGCAGTTCGCGCAGGAGGATCGACAGATGCAGCAAGAGCGCCACGAGTTGGATGCGTGCTACGCTCAAGCGACCATAATTCAGCTGAAAGAAAGAGAGCATCAGCAAAAAAACACAACCTGAAAGCAGCAAAGGGTGCATACTCTCGCTCCCTGGCAGCCCGACCAAAATCGATACAAAGGCAGCCGCACATTTAATCAGGGAAAAAACACTCATGCCCATGAGCAGGAGGTTGGAGAAGAACATGTGCTGCTCCAGGAGAGCTTCTTTCCTGGCTGGGTCCAG